CCAAGGCTCTGGGGCTTCCACCACGAACATAGAAAACAAAAAGGGAACAGAGCGCCACCTCCGTGTGTAAAATCGTTTATTACAATAAATAAAACAAGGGATAAAAGTACTCACAAACAAACGTTTTCATCAGGCTTTAACAACAAACGAGAGGCCACACTGTCTGTTGACCCAACATGGTATCCCCCCGACTATGTAACACGGTAGTATCCGGTCACATCACCGTCCACCGCTTTGATTGTGATTGATGATTCCGAGGAAGGGGGCTTGCCCCTGAAACGCGTCAATCTTGGCTGACTGCGGTCGGTGGACGGTGATGTGACCGGATACTACCGTGTTACATAGTCGGGGGGGATACCATGTACACACGGAGGTGGCGCTCTGTTCCCTTTTGTTTTCTAACATTTTATTAGTAATGACCTAAAAGACAAATGGAAAAGATAACGGACCCTTTCAAGGCTAGAAATTGGGAGAATTGCTTAAACAGCAACATTAAAAGAAATACAACATGATTGTAAAATGTCTGAGGGCCCATTCACACCACATCCAGATTACCTCCAGACCAGACTGTTTCCGGACCCAAAATGAATTCCAATGTATCCCTATGCTATTTCTGGCCTCTGCTCCCACCAGCGCAGTCAATTCGAGACAAGACCAGAAAATGCATGGAACGCACCTGTAAGACCATTTTAAGCTAAAAAAAAGCTATTTCCAATCGTGGCAAAATCGCTGTAAAATCGCAGCAATAATGAAATGCACTATGTTCCAGATCTGGTCCGGAAAACAGTGTGAAACCTGCATATAAAGTGGCACACTAAACGACCTACACCAACAAAAGTGATATTAAAGAAAAATAAAACTGTTGCTGCTACATGACATTCTTCATCGACTTATGCTTGTAAACAAAGCGGTCGGAGAATCATGGGTGACATAATCGATCATTATATGCATTTCTTTGGGTTCAATTTATAGAGGGGGGTTTATATTAAATTACACCTGTATTCTAAATGATGAGATCTGATTTGCTGCAAATGATTTTTGCACATTTACTATTTATATAACACGTCCACAGAATGTAAAAATAATGACATCACTGCATATAAAAAACATTCTCCTAAATGCATGTATTACAAATGCAATTTGCAGCACCCAAATGCTTGTCCCCCACCATTTTACCCAGGCGGATTGAAGGAGCTTCCTTGACCCGCAGTGGGCCCAGAGCAGGGTGTCACCTCCAACTGACCACTGAGCCCTAGAGTTGTTTCTCCTCACACACAACGTTCCATACAAGCCTCTCACCGCCTCAGAGTAGCCACTCAGCACCATTCCATCCCCTGTGCCAAACCCAAAACAGGGAGCGCGTTGGATGGTTTAAATCCATCCTGCTGGAAACACGGATTGTCGGCAAAATGTGATCAAATAATTACACGATGCAACCAACCATTTCCTCCAACATGGAAGAGGTTTTATTTCCCGCCATTTTCCTGATCACTGATATGGTGGTATTTCTTTATGAATTCGTCACCACAGCAGCACCATACAGTAAAAGTAGAAAAACTACTTGAATATGTTACATGCATAATACTAACAATGCAAATGTCGCAGCGCTTTCATGAATGTGGCGCAAGGCTTCCAGCTACATACTCGAGCAGCACAGTGGCGTAGTGGTTAGCGCTTCTGCCTTGCAGCACTGGGGGTCTCTGGTTTGAATGCCAGCCAGGTCACTCTCTGCAGGGAGTTTGCATGTTCTCCCTGTGCTTGCGTGGGTTTCCTCCAGGTACTCTGGTTTCCTCCAACACTTTAAAGACATGCTGGAAGGTTAATTGGCTCCTCTCTAAAAAAAAAAATTGGCCCTCCGTATGCATTTGAGATAGGGACCTTAGATTGTAAGCTCCTTGATGGTAAGGACTGATGTGTAACGGCAAGTAATGTTATAAATGGCTATATCAGAAAACAATCGGAGGGCAAACCAAACACCATCATCTATTAGATATGTGGGACTCAGAAGACTTGATGGCCGAGTAGTGAAAAGGAAAGCCCTGAGGGAAGATATACTAAAGCGTATCAGCTAAGATCACAACAATGAAACAACACATCCCTGAATAATAACCATTCTTCCATCTTTTCCAGAATACGGTTTTGCCCCTCTGGACAGGAGTAGGGATCGCTTTATCATATGTGTGGGACATAAACATGAAATAAATATGAATACGATATTGTACAATACATCAGCCTAGTTCTGCAGGTCTGTAATGTATAATGTCCACATTATGGAGCTACAGGTTTCCTCCCTCGCCATGCGGCAATGCATTCACATCCGAGCTGAACGTATTTCAGGCGATTTAGAAGCGTTTGTACATTTCTGCGCACATTTTTAGGCATGAGGAAAATAGAAAGCTAGTTACTAGGAGCAGGAGATGGTTGTTATTCCTGTTCACACTTATGCATGTTTGACGTGTGTTAAAGGAGAACTATGAGGTGAGTGCTTTTCACTCACCTCATAGTTCTAGCCGACCTGTGACAATGAAACTGTCACAGGTCGGCTCAGTAGATCGGGAAGTGAGCGAACGCATACCGGCGTTCGCTCACTTCTCGATCTTGTCACGGCACAGAGCCGTGACAGGGGAGGGACTGGATTCCCCCCTCCAATCCTCCAGTGCTGACTGGCGGAACGGACGGGGGAGGGGGCGGGTACAGCTGGCTCTGCCTCTAGATAGGCAGAGCCAGCTGTCACTCACGCAGCTGGGCGGATCTCGACATCGATGTCGGGATCCGTTTCAGCTGCGGCGTCTCAGTATAGCGCGAGCTGTAGCTCACGCTATACTGAGCTTAGGGTGACGGGAGGACGCTAGTTTGTGTCCACCCGTTACCCTTAGGTTAGGAGAACTATGGGGAAAAGCCCTAACCCCATAGTTCACCTTTAAGGTGCTGTCCGTTTGGCCAGACTTTCCAGAATTACCCCCACCAAGCTACCCCATCTCCCTTTAACCCCGCTTTTCTTACCTGTGAACAAGTGCCCCTTTCCCTTCACCGTTGCCGGTGTTCGATCCGAATACAACAGTGTAGCCCTGCGCAATGTTCTTCAAATTATGCTCGCAAAAGGGTGAGAACTGATTGGTCAGTGCTGTCACCTGACCAGTGAGAAGCACTTCTTGCTAAGAAGCGCTCCTCATTGGTCAGCATAGTCAGAATCGCTTCTTCCCCGGCAGCTGCAGAGGGGAAGGTGTGCTCATTCACAGGTAAGAGCAGCAGAGGAAGGAGAGGGGGCAGATTGGTGGGGGTAGTTGCATCTTCCCCATTTCACCTGGGAACGTGGAATTACCCTTTAACTCAGGGCTAAGCAACTTCGGCCCACCAGTTGTTTTAGATCTACGAGTCCCATAAGGCATTGGAAGGCTGACAGTTACAGGCATGATTCCCAGGGGCAGAGGCATGTTGGGATTTGTAGTTAAAGCTCAGCTGGAGGGCCAGAATTACCCATCTCTGGTTTAATGGACGAAAATTAAAGAGAGAAGCTGATTGGTTGCCCTGGGCAACTGCTCCAGATTTCGTCTGCTCCAGTTTTGGAAAATTCCCCTGCATGCATTTCAGCAGACTACAACGCACGTTCTTTACAAGGCGCTTTGGAGGTGCCACTAAAAATTCATTAGGGATGCACCGATACTAGTATCGGTGCCCATGCCGAGTATTTGGGCGAGTACTCGTACTCACCCAAATGCTCCGATGCCTAGCCCGATACCCGAGCTTCAAGTATCAGGAAGCCTGGCAGCGAGTCATTACACACTGCCCGGCTTCCTCATTGGCCGACTCCATGCTACCAATCTGGAAGCCGGGTAGCGTGTAATGACTGCCCGCCTAACTTCCTGATTGGTCAGGAAGCTGGGCAATCAGGAAGCCGGACGGCGAACCATTACCCTCCCCCAGGCTTTTTGATTGGCCAGGAAGCTGGCTCCATGCTTTTTCATCACCTGGTGACGAGGAAGCATGGAGACGGCTTCCCGGCTAATTTAGGAAGCCAGGTGCCGAGTCTTTACACGCCGCCCAGCTTCCCGGCTAATCAGGAAGCCAGGTGGCGAGTCATTACACGCCGCCTGGCTTCCTTAATGGGACTTCCGGAATTGGTATTGGCGAGTACCGAAAAAAAAATATCGGTACAGGTACTCGATACTGAAAAAGCGGTATTGGTGCATCCCTAGAATGAATGACACTGCAGCACATCTGCAAAAAAAAAAAAAAAAGTGTTTTTTGCACTGCAGGAACGTGTGATTTCTGCGCATGGGGGCTCACGCCTGGAGCTGAGCGCTTATGATCAATATTTTTGTGTTTGTATAGGTGATTTTTTATGATTATTTTTAGCCAATGGAAAGTTAGTTACTAGGCAAAAAGATGCATGAAAAAAAACACGCCACATATTTTTCAGCTGCTTCCATTGAAGTCTTTTGGGGCCAAAACGCGTAAGTACCCCAAGAGAAGTTCACATACTTTTTTCAGCGACGCGCTTTGAGCTGGCACTATGCTCAGGTGAACGGTCACCAATGAATATAATGGAAAACCTAGTGGTGAGTGCATCTGGAAAAAGCTTCAAATCACACTTTAATTCGCTCAGGTGTGAACAGCGACAAGCTCAAAATTACGCATTTTTCCGGCATTCCCGTTGAAGTCTACGGTGCCATAAACGTGCGATTCTGCTTGAAAAGAGGCTCCTCGACTTTTTTTCAAGCTCAGGTGCGATTGGGCACCATTACAAACAATTTGATTGTTCACGCTGAGCGCTGTCGCGTTTTCAGGGTAATGCGTGACAAAACGCTCAGGTGTGATTGGTGGCTTAGGAAGCAATGATGGATAAATAGCCACATGCTGCTGGATCTGTAAACAGGAATCAATATCCCCAGACAAATAGACCTGCACACAGCATCTGTCACATGAAGACAGCTCCAGGCAATGACAGCCCAGCAGCTGTGTCTATAAAGGGCCCCTCCGGGGGCCCCGCACAGTAATACCTTTGCTGGAAGATGGGGTTCTCCGCGATCTGTCTCCGCAGCTCGTTCTTCATCCCCCAGAAGTCTCCATCCAGGAACCGGGACAGGGAAGTGTGTGTGATGCCCAGGTCAGCTCTCTCCATATTGGTGAAGGAAGGTGTCCCCGCTGGATTCTCCTCTCTGACAAATCGTACTCCTTCTGCACTGCTTTCAGGTCTCTGGGATGCGCGTCCACGACGCCGCGCGCTCCCCGCCGGATCTGCTCATTGGGGAAAGGGAATCATGCGCGTCCACGCGGCAGTGTCCGCGCCCATTCATTTCTCTTACCCAGAGCGCGCCCTGGGCTGAGAAGAGAACTTTTCAGAGTTCAATATCCCCGTTGCTGGGGAGGATCATAGGTCAAGGATGTCCTCAGAGTGTTATTAGTCACTGTCCTCAGAATGTTATTAGTCACTGACAATGGTATACACTGGTGTACATGGAATAATCGATATATTATTATACAGGATTTATATAGCGCCAACAGTTTGTGCAGCGCTGTACAATATAATGAAGACATTACAATCACAATACAATTCAAGACAAGATGGTAAGGAGGGCCCTGCCCCTGTGGGCTTACGATCTAAAAGGGAGGGGGAAGTGATACATGAGGGCTAAGATGACAACATTATAAATAAAAGTAGATCTACTAGAGTGTAAGCTCTTGGGAGCAGGGCCCTCCTGTACTGTTAATGGACTGACTCCCTTAGGGCCTGTCCACACTAAGCCAGAGCAATTGACGCATGGTGCTGCGCAACTCACCTACCGCGCGATACAGAGCGGTAAATGTGTTGCGTTGCCATTCATTTGACTGGCACCCAAACACACCTTCTAGCCATAATGCGCTCGACCACACTGCAACACGCGCTACCACAATACCTTATGTTGTGGTTGTAAAAAAGTAGTGCATAGTGAATGGCAGAGCAACACACCTGCCGCACTGTAACGCACGTTAGGTAACAAAAATCCTGTAAGTTAATCATAATAACTAAGGAAAAAGGACATATGATAAAGTCTGTCACTGGCAGGTGGATTCAAGTAGGAGCTCTGCTTTTAGGGCTTGTTCACACCTAAGAGCTGCATTAAAAACACAATACTGCGCGTTTAGTGCACGCTGTTCCATGGTGCACCTCATGTACGGTACCATGCGCTAGGTGTGTTGTGTTGCCAGTCATTTGCATGCACTATGTATGGTATTACAGTCACCGGGAAGTGCATTGGGGTGCCATTAAAATTAATTGCAATGCACCTAGCGTACATTCTCTCACACCGATTGGGCCCCCTTATATTGAAGACCCTTATAGTGGGGGTCAGTAATCATCTGCATGACTAAAATCACTGGGGTCAATTACGTGGATTAATATCTGAATTAGTGAGTCAGCCCCACATGGGGGGGGGGGGGGGGGCCCAAGCTTTATTTGG